GAGTAATGTGAACTGGTTTACTTCCCCAGGTCATCGCATGGCAGCCCTGATTGGACGTGTGTCATCGTAGGATTTTCTTCAGGATATGTTAGAATCTATACTGAAGTACGTGGTCCTGTATCATTCTATGCATGTTACTGGTGTTGGTTGGTATTTTTTGATGGTCATATTATAGGAATCATGTATGCTAAACATCTGTGTTCGGAACGGCAACATTCACACACAACATATACAGTAATTTTTTGCTCTATATATGTAAATGCACATATGTACATCAAGATACTTTCTGAGCGGTTTACTCTAGTTAATATATTGCGTATGAAAGCAACTGTTACCCCCAATAAGCATTAATATATAGTGTGATTTCATCTTCTGCTTACGTCCTGGTTCCAGACGGGAGCCCTGCTACTGTCGCAGTTGCTACATGAAGAGCCAGTGCAGAGGTTAAAATGCAGAACCCATGAGCCCCGTAGGCACGCAGGCATACCAGAACAGGTGACTAAATTCGTGTGTTATTTGTAGATAGGGAGTGATCAGGAGAGATCCATTGTGCACGTTCCCACTGACATTATTTGCTGCCACGAGTCAATTATGTGTCTTTTATCTATTGCACATTTATTTTATGGAAGAGGAAAATGTATGATCTTTACCAAAAAATGGCAACACAAGTCCATAACTACCGGCGATTTGTGCTCTTATTTTGAATAGTGTATTTAATTAACAATTAATTAGGGTATTCAACAAAATCATCTCTCATGCTCTTACAGGTGGAGGAGTTAACTATATTGTATCCCAAGGCATTGGTTGTAATAGAGGGATTCAGTCTATACCAAGCACTGCGAGCATGCAGGAACCAAGTTGCTAAAGGTGAGGCGTCCTGCTGGTATGTTTCTGTTTAGGAAGGCAATAAGCATGCATGCATGTTTTTGTGTGTGTGTATATAATTATGATGAATACAGTTGATGAAATGTTTTTACTTGCTACCTCCGTTTAGGTGGTACCGTACATATTTTATATAGTAATCTGAATAATTCGTGGTTTGAGTCATTAGTAGCTGCATTCAAACCGGTTATATTTTATAGTGCGTGTATGCGATTATTTGGTAGTGATAACACTTGTTTTGTTTAGAGAGTAATAAGCTCTTTGCTTTTAGCTGCTGCCAGTGGGTCTGAGTTCCACCAGCTGTCCCCTCTTACGTACAAGAAGTGGGGGCTCAATGATCAGGACGTTGTTAATGATTATGTCAGCTGTGGTAAGTTTTTATGATTGTCTGGTTGTTGTCAGTATAGTGTAGTTTCTTCCAGGTGCCATTCTATTTCCTGTGTGTGCTTGTGGTGCTTTCTGTGGGCATTTTTACCACCTGGGTATCTTTAGGCTATAGTATCCACCAAGTGTGCTTGTATAATCTGAATAGCTTTTCATCTCTGAGATGTTTTGTTATTCTTTGGCTATCCTGATGTAACGTGGGTGGACCTCGTATCCCCATAGTATCTCTGTGTCCTTTGGTTAAACTAAAGTGATGTAATCACCCAGTCATTTAAATGCAAATTAGTATGGCATTGAAGTAAAATCTTTTAAATTTTTTATTAAACTTAATTTTGAAGGAAGTTCAAAGTGGAGTGCAGTTTCTCATTCAAAATTAAAAACAAACCCTCTGTGACGATCAGACGAACCTTCGCACGATCTGACGAACCCTCAGACAATCTGACGAACCCTCGGACAATCTGACGGACCCTCAGACAATCTGACGAACCCTCGGACAATCTGACGAATCCTCAGACAATCTGACGAACCCTCGGACGATCTGACGAACCTTCGGACGATCTGACGAATCCCCGGACGGTCTGACGAACCCCCGGACGATCTGACGAACCCTCGGACGATCTGACGAATCCCGGACGGTCTGACGAACCCCCGGACGGTCTGACGAACCCTCTGACGATCTGACGAACCCTCTGACGATCTGACGAACCCTCTGACGATCTGACGAACCCTCAGACGAACCCTCGGACAATCTTACGAACTCCGGAATCTGACAACGGCTCGCTCGCCCCCCTCAGGCCTCATCGCCGTGAATGAGTTCAACCAGCTGCGCTCGACGTCGCTGCTCGGCGGACACGACGCGGCGGCGCGGCCCTCGGCGGCGGCGGCCTCGCTCTACGTCGCGACGGGTGTCGCCCCCTACGTGGGCTTCTTCTACGCGGTGGACGGCGGCGGCCCTCCGATGCTGTCCGACGTCGCGATGGCGGTCGCAAGCAAGCTGCGCACGGCGCTGCGCAACCAGGTGTCGAGCGCGGGCAGCCGCTACCTCGGGGGCTGGCTCGGCATCGGCAAGAAGTCGCCGACCGACGAGCAGCAGCCGCCGCCGAGGATCGAGCCGGCGACGCAACTGCCGATCAGGTAACTAATCACAAAATTGCAATTATATTTGTACCTAACTGCTATTTAACTGAATAATTTTTATTTTAGGATAAATTAGTTCATATTATAACTAAATCTAAAAGTTGTTTATGAGATATTGCAATCCCTCTTCTCTTAAATTAATATTAATAAATAAGAAACACCCTTAGTCTGTAGCCTGCAGCCAAAAAGCTGCGATGCGCAAATCTGAAAGTAGATGTGCTAGTAGTGGCGCCATCGTCATTGTAAGCGACAATAGAGCCGTTACTTTTTTTTTTAAACAAATATTTAACAATGAATTTTTTTATGTAGTGCTGAGAGCTAGGGTCTATGTCCCCCAGGGTACTGCCGGAACGTACCCTTGGTACGGTTCGGTATACCAGAACGTACCCTGGTACTATCTAATATGCCGGACCGTACCTCGCCTACTCCATTAACAAGTCTGGGGAGTTGCCTATGCCTACTCCCTAACCCTAACACTAACAATAACCCTAACCCTAACCATATCAGCTAGATAGTTACCAGGGTACGTTCCGGTATACCAGACCGTACCCAGGGTACGTTCCGGCAGTACCCTGGGGGACATAGACCCTATAAGCGTATTTTACACCTATTTTAACAAAAAATTGGCAAGGAACCTAACGTAATGTATCCCTTTAAGTTATACTAATCAAATTCAAACAAATTTGACCAAATAATAACACGTTTACCAAGCAGCTAGGCATAAAAAAAATTGGTCCAGCCCACTGGCACCACTTATTGCATGGTTTACACACCAACATTGTGTGAAATCTGTTCAGCTTCTTTGTGATTAAATTCATCCCTTATATCAAATAATATATATAGTAGGTATCTTTCTGTGGAGTGATGAGGCATGGGACAGGTCTATAGTTTAAACATATGGCATGTGTCACATTGACATCTTCAATATATGCTAGGATGAACATATTATACAATATGCTTTTCAAAAAATTCTGAAATGGCATTGTTTCTGCAAGAACTGGCATAGTGATCTTTCATGTTCATCATATAGGCATATTTATAATTTTAGCACAGACCTACATTTGTATTGATAATATATATATATATTCAGTTCTATGTTCTATATGGTTCATATACTCATATAGAGATATATTTATATATAGTCAGTTGTTGACGCTGTGTAGGTTCGGTTTTAAGAATAGGCCTAACTTATCTCCCTGCGTGTCGTAGAAGGCAACTAAAGAAGTTGGCGTCAGGAAGGGCATCCGGCTGTAAAACTTCTGCTCCAAAAACCATTCCATGATGAGTAATCGTGAAATAAAACTGTCCAACCTCGAAAGGGAAAACGGACAAAAGGTCGGAACTGATAAAAAGTCAGTTGTAACAAACATGTACTAATAGGAACCTGTTGCTATATCTATGGCTGCATGTGATGTGTAAGTGATACAATATGTTTGAAATATGTATCTATTACATGTGCATGCATGCATGCGTGCGTGCATCTGTTTATATGTTATATATATATATATATATATAAATATATCAAGAGTAGATAATAGGAGAAGAGTATGACACTGTTTTAAAAGCGTTTTGCATAGTTTTCAACTTGAATTTATTCTATCAATATGTGATTAAATATATTCAAAGTTTACCTTGTTGTTTTTGTCTCGGATTATCCCTTATTCATATGACACCATCAGTTTACCTAAAAATCGTATGTGTTCTTCAAAAAAGTTCTTTGAATACGACACGGTTTAACACAGTTTTCCCATATGTTT